ACAAAGAAAGTCTCCGAATTAAAGCAGGTTGCCATGGTTTCGGCGCTCTAAAGTCGCAGTCACTTTGCTCATTCATCATACAAAAAACACGGTGTTCGCGGCAGATATGATGATAGAACTATCTGCGGTCTCACCTCAAGCATCTTATAAGCATGTTCTCTTCATACATAGTTCGGAATTAAAAAGCGCTGACTTTAATTCCGAAGTATGTACCAACTCGCCCAAGCCTCAACTTTAGCCTCATACATGGGTATGCTTTAACATGTCTTAATTCCCCAGAACCCCCTCCCCAAAAAACAGAGTATCGCCAACCAGGACTTTAACTATAGGTAAACCTCTCTGTTCTTCCTCTTCTGACTCTTTCTTTCTCCATGTCCGAAGATGTTTTTGTACAACCAATGGGACCATCATACGAGAAAGAAACATATCTCGGACACTGTCTGCAGACTTTCGTTTGTTTGTCATATTAGTAGCGTGACCACGGCGTAAGGTCTCTGAATTGCAGTATAAGTTACCATGGTTCTTCTACGGGAGCCCGGTGGTGGGCCGCCATTTTCTTCCAACGGCTGTGCACGGGGCACGCTCGCCGAGCGATGTAAAATTATCACTATATTATAAACAAAATAGATGGAAAGGCTTTCGGGGCGCTTTGTGCAATTCTGGAGATATGCCTGATACCCGATTACAATTTAAAGAAGATGACCGCCGCCATGTCTCTTCCCGGGTGAACAAGCACGTGTATATACACTATATAGTTGGAAGGCTGGCCCAAAGCTGCCGATTAACGCATGTTGTAATGTTGTACGCGCTTGCAGACACGATGCACCACCCAGAATATATGTCAGGCTTGCAATTGAGTGTAAGAGATCCGATGACGCGAAGAAACTCTGATTGCTCTGGATATAGACCTGCATCGAAAGCGGCGATGGTGTATCAGCACCTCCTCGCGAGAGTTCGCGTGGAGGTAAAGTTACCAGAAACCTGCGATAGAGTATGCGGAGCGCAAGTTCGTCTGCTTCTTTAGCAGGGGGTTGTGGTGACGTCAGAACGCCGAGCTCTGATTGGTTCTGAATAAACGATGGGTAGACTTCGAGGCAGCTTCCTTTGAGGTGTACCCACTATCCGTCAATCAGAAGCAGACGACTTGCTCTCCGCTTAGGCCTCACAATGGTGTGGGCAAACGCGCAGTTCCCCCACGAGGTGTGGTGGGCACTGCGCATGCGCAATACCGATAGTAGCGCCACCGCAGCGACGTGACGTCAGGGCCGCGTGTTCGTGTCTATACTCTATCGTCGCCGGAAGTATATATACATTAATTAAGTACAACCGCGACAAATGCTAGTATCCGAAGGAGCCGATCAAGCGGGGTTAAAAATGCATCGTCATGGAGTTCGTCGGCTATGTGAGTATATGCTATCACCGGCTGACCAATCACGCGCAGTAAAAAAGAATGGCTGTAGAAACCACTATTGTTGGTTGTCTATGAATTGCGGCAGCATTCGTCATGTATACCCCCTCCTTTCGTTACGGAGGCAATGGACGACGTCGAGGACAGCGTCTAAGACCTCTAAAAGACCTTTTCCTGTCAAATTTAGCGGGGAAACTGAATAGGTGAATAGGTTACGTGCCGTAAATTTTCCTGCTAAATTTAGCGGGGAACCTGAATTTGTCTTTAGGTCCCGTGACGTCAGGTGAAGTGACATCCATTTTCCCGCCAAATTTTAGCGGGGAAACTGAATTGGTGCACAGATCACGCGACGTTAATTTTTCCTCTAAATTTAGCGGGGAAACTGAATTGGTGCATAGGTCACGTGACACTGCTTTTTCCTCCAAATTTAGCGGGGAAACTGAATTGGTGCATATAGGTCCCGTGACGTCAATTTTTACGCTAAATTTAGCGTGGAAACCTACTCCCGATTTCGTAGACACAAAGGTCTACGAAATCGGGAGAGGGTGAGAGGGGGGGGGGGGGGGGGCGTAGCTAAAGAATACTAACGCATTAAAAAGTGCAGGCTCACAGCGCACTCACCATTCCGTCTTCCTTTGCTATCTAACGCTCAAACAGAACGGCTCTATAGGATTGTATAGCCTTGGCGGCGCTCGGACTTCGTGCGACTCCAGGGCTGAAACCGCAGCTCATTCACAAACTTCTTGCTATACCAAACCCATGAGCTGAGTCGCATTCTGCATCCCATAGCAGACGATGTGTACTCGCGCGGGAAACCAGTAGCAGACGAGAATTGCGCGAGTAATAATGGCGGCGCGGGGCGGGTGGCGCGTCGCGATCATCAAATAACGTCGATTCACTTTGCCTTTTTATACGAGCATGAAAGCGGGGAGCGCGAACACGTCGTTTTCTCCCATTCTTTCGCAAAACGCGTATTATACCTCCCCAGCAAAAAAACATACCCCAAACTCGCTCCCCTCCCCCCTCCCCCAAAAAAGACTGTCATTATAAGAACGCAAACGTTTCGCTGCCCGAGCTCCATTCTTTTCTTTTTTTTCAGTTATTTATTTTATTTTTCGCGTCCTCGCATCCTCGCTAAATCATCGCTAGCCTCGTAAAAACAAAAGAACACGTAGAATCCACACGAAGGGAAAAATAAGGTAGTGAGGGCGGGGCCCCTTTTTTTGAAAGAGTACCGTCGCCGCCGTAAGATAATCGTATAATCTGAAACACTATAAACCTAAAGTGACTATAAGAACTGTTCATATATACGGACCCCCCAAGAAAACGAGACAAAGACGTTGTTACCGCATTTTATGTTCGGAGATAGGGCGTCTGAAGCGTGGCGTCTGTATCTATAGCTTCCGTCGCGCTATGGACTCTGCAGCGCCGATATCGTGTACGTACAGCGTCGACAAAAGAAGAAGAAGTCGAGGCGGGTTGCATTGTGTTATTTTCGTATAACGCGATGATATACATCCATCCGATACAACCGTCATCGCACGGCACGTTTCCCGCTATTTTAGAATGATGGGGTTCTGTGCTGCTTCAACGGTTTCTCTCTTCGTCTTACGCTATACGCATATACGAAACACAACTAGAGAAAAATAAAAAAAATAAAGGCAATACGATTATCTTGAAAAGAACGCCGTAAAGGTTTAAACCGAACCCTGGCTGCTTTTTGTGTGCTGTACTGGGATAACAGGCCCGGTACCAATGTCGCGTGAAGAGGATATGGTCGCAAAGGAATAGAATAGATTCGTCCACGTCCTTTCTTCTCTGTTTGTTTCTTCGTCGGGGATGATGAATTGTAAAGTATAGGTTTTCTTCGCCGGAACCTCCTCGAACGAAACAATAGAATCTTTAGCGTGATTGCGTTTAGGGTTGTGTTCATTTTACTGCTTTTTCAATATGGGCCTCCATAAGGTCTAAAAGAACTACGAATTGCGTGGATACTATAAATAAGGTATCGATCGCGTTCTTTTTTTTTTTTTTGTGTGTGTGTGTGTGTTTTGGTTGTATATAAATGTGCACAAAATAGAGGATAATGAATGATAGCCAGGTCAGTCGATTATATATATTTTTGTTTTTAGTAGTGCAGCGTATTGCTGTCGTTTTTATATCACAGTTTCGGGATAGTTTCGTGCGGAGGCTGGAATAATGAACGATCTCATAGTTGCAAACTTGAGCTTGCATTTCTCTTTAAACGTTTCAGCAACAGTTTTAAAAAAAAGAGATAGCGCAGTTTTCTTAACATATAAGAGCAAGTGAAACCGGAACAATTCATTGTAGTGAATTAGCCTTTTGTTTTATATGATACATGCTTGCATATTCCGACTTCAGAAACTTAAATCTGAAGGACGCTGGTGACGTGAATTACGAAAAAGGCGCATGCAAAATACGTAATATTTATTTGACTGGTTAGCCTGTGCAGGCTATCTAATGCATTACATTCATAGGCGAAAGAAATAAAGACTGTACTGTATTACCTCCGATTCCTTTAAAAACATAGATTGTCATGTATTGTCTTTCCGCTGATTCCCTTTTCGGATTCCGTGCACTTCGCGAGGTTCTCACAACTTAATATCAAAACCAGTCGCAACTTTCCATTTAACGTTCGGACCATGACCCCATTGTAAGTACTGCAAACATTCCGTTTTAGCTTGACTATTAAAAAAGTAGTACTTACACCCCTTGTCTTATATATAACACCCCGAAACTACTTCTCGACGTTCCGTCCACTGACGTCGCACTGACGAAACCAAGTTTTACGAGCGGCTTGATAGCTGGGCGATATAACCTACTAAATCGCTGATGAACGTATCAACGAATAGAGAGAAGAAAAGAAAAAGAACACTGAGGTTTTGCAACAGGGCCAACAAAACCGCGAGTGTTTTCCTGTAGTCTTGTACGCCGTGCATTAGCTAGTTTAATCACGCTCGACTATCAAGCCGTCGAATTGTAGTTCAGGGGTGTGTTTTATATGGCACGGTCACTACAACCCCTCTTTGTTGAGAGTGTTCCGTTCCTCTTGACTCACTGAAAAAGTAACTATGACACATTACTGGTTACTGCGATTCGGAGGGAACGGGTTACCTCAACTTTAAAGTAACGCATATTATTCTCTCCTTACTCTGAATGGCTCCTTTTATAAAGCGGTAGCCACTTAATATATGTATAGTCGTTAATAATTATTTGATTTTTAACTAGCGCGTTCGTTAAGGGATAACAGTGGCTATACTGACGTACCTTGCGCACATCTTTTTGTGGTCTATCTATAGATAGACTGTAAAATAATTGTAACTGAACAGGGACTGCATAAGACTCTTGTCCGCTTACAAAGAAGAAGAAGGTGAGGGGAGGAGCTGGCGCGAGGGGAGCCATTAGGTCAGTAAAACGAAGGTTCCCAACGAAGTCGGTTGTCCTGTCTTTGACGAGTCGACCTCACAAGGTCACCGACAAAGTCATCAGTCGACGAAATAGAGAGCTTATATGTGCAACATTAATGGTGCAAGAAACCCGGGACCTTTGGAAGTGAGGAATCAACATCAGGATGGATCGGCTGAAGACGAAGCGGAGGGTTCGACGGAGCCAGAACACGAAGATAATTACCGATATCACGACTGCGCTCCATTCAACAACCCTTGACATCAACTCCCTGAAGAACCTACGAGACAGGCTGATCGCCAGCAACGAGGAACTCCGCAAGGTCAACGAAGAGATTGAGCCGCTGATCACCGATGCCGACCTCGAAGCGGACTATGTTGCTGTGGTGGCAGACTACGAAGATGAAGTAGCAAGAGCCCTCAGTGAGGTACGCAACAAAATCGAGCGTCAACCGGCAGCACCAGCCATTTACCAGGTGGGAGACGACGGTGACGGAGTCATACCCCAGGCCACGGGCGTGAAACTTCCTAAACTACAACTACTGCAGTATCAAGGTGAGCTTACCCTCTGGCAGCCCTTCTGGGAGCAATTCCAAACTGCCGTTCACCGTAACACCAGACTCACGGAGGGAGACAAATTCCAATATCTACGCTCCCTGCTGAGTGGGCCAGCTGCCAGTGCTATCTCCGGGCTACAAACAACGGCAGAGTGCTACAAGGACGCCATAGAAATACTATCCGAACGCTTCGGGAACAAGCAGCGCATTCAGCGTGAGTACCTCGAAAGACTGCGAAGCCTACCAATGGTGAAGTCAGATCGAGATGTACGAGGACTAAGGAATATTTACGACCACGTCCAGACCAACATTCGTGGCTTGCGTGCTCTAGGCGTTTCGAGTGCAACGTATTCTACTATGATGATGGACGTACTCCTGTCCAACCTCCCAACCGATATACTGGTGGAGTACCATCGACTCAAAAGATACGGGATAGGGCTTGGAGTTCCAATCAACGGGAGAGAAAGAGCCGGAACGACTGACGATGGACAACCGTTAGATGACGTCTCGCCTTCGCCAACAGATTCAAATGAGGAGTTGGATAAACTCTTGCGTTTTATGCGCGTGGAGATAGAGAGCAGAGAACAGTCATCGCCACTCGAGCGAAGGCCGACAACCGTGCCAACAGTGGCTCAAAATCAGAGGCAAGGCGCCAATCCACCATCAACGTTGGTGTTGCACACTAGGGGAACAGACAACACCTGCTTCTTTTGCAACTACCGAACTCACCGTACCGGTGATTGTCCATCGGATATCACACTAGATGAGAAAAAGAAAATGCTAGCGCAAGACATTAGATGCTTTCGTTGCACGAAGCGAGGTCACCGATCAAGGGATTGCCGTAGTCAACAGAGATGTACCGGGTGCAGGGGAAGACATGTCACCTCAATGTGTAACCCGGCGTGGGAAGCTTTATCAACCGTTCAGGAGACTGCCAACGTTCTTACCGCCGGTAGTACCCCGACAGTACATACTCCGAGCGTCCTATTACAAACGTTCCGAAGCTGGGTTGGAACCGGCCTGAACCAAGCTTACATCCGCGGTATTATCGACGGAGGGAGCCAAAAGACTTTCATCAGGGAAGACTTGGCTAGAAAGCTTAATTTGAAGGTTGTCGGGGAACGTATCATGCAACTCAACACCTTTGCTTGCAGTGACTCAAACAGGTGTAGGCAGAAGTTCACCGTAGTTAGAATCCATATTAGGGGCCAATATAAGACAGCGGATCATGTCTTAGAAGCAGTCGTCGTGCCTTTCATCTGCCAAAACATCATAGAAACTCCAGTAGAGCACACATTTCTCAAGACTATTCCAGGAGACATCGCCGACAAGTTGATGTTTCCATCGACTCGAGTGGAAGCGGGCATAAGCCTTTTAATTGGAGCGGACCAGATGTGGAAATTGTTGACCGGCGAGACACGCCGCTCACCTTGCAACACCGGGCTAGTAGCCATCGCAACGACTTTGGGATGGACCTTTCAGGGTCCAACGAGCACAGTGAGTGTCTTATCAGATAATACCACAAATTTGATGGTGTGCGTGTTGAACGTGGGAGGGGCTGACGAAGAAGATGATGCAGCGTTAAAACATTTCTGGGAACTGGAGACCATTGGAATCGTGGATGAACCTATGGATAAGAAACAACAGGAAGAAAAGGTGTTTGAGCAATTCAAGGAAAACATCCGACAAAAGAACGGTCGGTACGAGGTCGCGTTGCCGTGGAAGGAGACAAAAACGACCCTTGGAGATAATTACATGATTGCCAAAACCAGACTCCGAAGTCTTGTACGCCGTCTCTCACAAGATGGCTCTATCGCCCAGTATGACAAAGCAATACGTAGTTACTTTAAAGATGGACACGCCGAAGAGATAGAATTAAATGCATCAACCTACAGGCACGTTTATTACATGCCTCACCGAGCAGTAATTCGAGTTAACTCGGAGTCAACTAGACTTAGAGTAGTATTCGACGCATCTTCCCATGCAGCAAACACCGGATCTCTCAATGATCACCTTGAAAAGGGTCCAACGATCAACACGGAGCTTTTGCCCGTCCTACTCAGATTTCGAATGCAGAAGGTGGCCATCACAGCAGATATACAAAAGGCATTTTTACAAATAGTCATCTCGGAGCGTGACAGGGACGCTCTCCGGTTTCTTCGGTTTGAAAATACACCCAAACCCAACGAGCCACTGCCAAACACGAAAGAGTGGCGCATGACGAGGGTTCCTTTTGGAACAACTTCCAGTCCCTTCCTACTCGGGGCTACGATACAGCATCACTTGCAAAACGTGGGTGGACCCAACAACGACATCGCAACTATTTTACTCCGATCCTTTTACGTGGACGACCTGCTAACTGGAGCAGCGAACATTAAGGAGGCACAGCGACTCGCTGACGGAGCACTGACTTTACTCAGGGAAGCAGGCATGGAACTGCAAAAGTGGAACACCAATTCTTCTCAACTCCAGAAACTCTTTGATCAAAGAGCGGATAACGTCGATCATTCATCCGAAAATAAGCCATTTAAGTCCCCCGAGGTCACCAAGATATTGGGATTGGTGTCGGATAAAAACGCGGATCATTTCAAGTTCTCTGCTGATCATCTCTTGGAGATACTTTCTACAAATCTGAACAAAAAGCGCTCCGTACTCAAAGCCTCGGCTAGGATCTTCGATCCCCTCGGTTTCCTGTCGCCGTATGTCATAAGAGTGAAAATTTTATTTCAACGTATATGGCATGCGGACTTGGATGGGATGAGGTTCTGACAGAGGCTCTTTTGCAAGAGTGGAAATCCTGGTGCGCCGATTTAACGGAATTACCACAAATCACGACGCCGAGATATCTGCTGGGTGTCGAAGGTGAAAGCGAGCTGGAGATTCACATCTTCACCGACGCTAGCCCTCTGGCGTATGGTACCTGCGCATATCTCCGTGCAGTGAACAGGAAAGGAGAAGTCAGCGTGAATCTGATATTTTCCAAGGCTAGAGTTGCTCCACTGAAGACACTAACCCTTCCACGATTAGAACTGATGGGAGCGCTATTGGGAGCACGCATTGCTACATATCTTCGTAGCTCATTGTTGGGCCACACCGTTACAATATGGTACTGGACAGATTCTACTATAACACTTGGCTAGATTAAGGGATTGGCAACCGAGTGGCAACCCTTTGTGTGCAATAGGGTGGCAGAAATACAAGAACTCAGTGATCCGTCCAGTTGGCACCACTGCCCAGGTTACGAGAACCCAGCCGACGCTCTCACTAGAGGAAAGACTAGCACAGCTAGAGACTCAACAGGTATGGTGGTCAGGGCCGGAATGGCTTGCCCTCGAACAGCGAAACTGGCCAGTTAGTGCACCCGTAGAGAACCCTGAAGACATTGATGGGGAGAAACAGCAGCGAACCGAAACGCTACTGATTGTTGTACATGAACAAGCTGCGCTTTTGGCGATTGAAAATTTCAGCAGCTACACCAAGATGTTGCGGGTAACTGCTTGGGTTAAAAGATTTGTGCACAATTGCCGCCAGAATAATGGGTCGGCTGAACTACCATTGACTACACAAGAGATTACGGATGCGGAACTTTTCTGGATTAAACACACTCAAAAGGAATGCTTCGATAAGGAGATACACGAGATAATACAAACTGGGAGAATTGCTACAAGATCTAAAATAAGTGATCTACAGCCGTTTCTTGATGAAACCGGAATCATGCGCATACAAGGCAGACTTCATCAAGTTACCTTGACAAAAGACGTAAGACACCCTATCCTTTTATCGGGAGACCACCCGTACACTAAGCTGCTGGTCACTGCAACACAGCTTAGAACAGTACACGGGGGCCTGCAGGCCACATTGACAGAACTACGTGAAAGGTTTTGGCTGCCAGGAGCACGAAGAATCGTGAAGAAGGTCCTCGCTCAATGCCGGACCTGTCGGCGGTTCAGCGCAAAGCCAGCGACGGCTCCAGTAGCTCCACTACCACGGGACAGGGTGGAAGAGGGACACCCATTCCAGGTTGTAGGAGTCGACTTCGCGGGGCCGTTATTCGCCAGCTCAAAGGGACAATGTGCTAAAACGTACATTGCTCTCTTCACTTGTGCGACTACTCGTGCAATACACCTCGAGTTAGTATCCTCTAGGACCACTGCATCGTTACTCTTGGCTTTGAGGAGATTCGTGGCTAGAAGAGGAATTCCGACCACAATTTATAGCGACAACGCATTAACATTTAAAAGAGCAGCGAAGGATCTGAAAGCTCTATGGGAGGCTATTCGCAGTACCGGATCACAAGACTTCTGCAGTACCCACCGAATAACCTGGAAGTTCATCGTAGAGCGGGCCGCCTGGTGGGGCGGCTGGTGGGAAAGAATGGTGCGATCGGTGAAAACGTGCATGAGGAAAGTTCTAGGACGACAAAGTCTCTTTTGAAGAGCTAACTACCGTACTGACCGACATCGAAGCAGCAATCAACTCTAGACCCTTGACCTACTTACACGCAGATAGCAGCGAACCAACAGCCTTAACTCCGGCTCACTTACTCATCGGACGACGATTGACAACCCTGCCAGAGACGGAGACGCCACACCTAGTCGCGTCCTCAAGAGATGCGCTTTCACGACGGTGGCAATATCGACAGAAGCTCATGAACAATTTCTGGGTACGCTGGAAAAAAGAATACCTCCTAGAGCTTCGATCAGCACACCTAGCAACGCCTCTTAAAGGGGCACTGACACATCAAAATCATATTTTTTTTTTATTATCCGAAACGATTGAAAACGATGCCGGGACATTACCCTCAAAATTTGAAATTTGGGAATTCAGTATTCGTGAAGTAAACAAACAATTTCCAAATGCCGAATTCGAAGTTCCCGCGCGATCGGCGCCGGTGCCTTGACGTCAAAAATTGCGGAGACCTGAGAGTCCCCTTTATTTCACCACTCCCTGCTGTTGCCATGGCGACCCAAAGCGAGGGGGAAAGGAGCGAGCGGCGGCGTTCTGGCGGACCCGTTTTGAGCGGTGTCGCCTGTTTTCCGTTGGAGGATACAAATCCAGGAGACGGCACCACAACGAACTCCCGATTTTTGGTATTTCAAAAAGAAGGGCCGTAGTGCGTTCGCAATTGCGTTAAAAAACATGTTTTAGGATTGCCGTAATTAAATGTTATAGAAATGTCGCCTACAAAGCTTCTAAATTTCATGATTCTTGACGTCACCGATCAAAAGAAGCGAGGAGGCGAGAGGCGGGAAAATCAAACGCCAAAAATAAAAAGGCGCGCGCGCGCGCGGGAAAAATTTTTTTCGCGATGCGGTTTTTTTTGCGTGTCTATGACTGCAACTTGCATCGTTTTAGACAATAAAAATAAATACGACTTTTGGGGTGTCAGTGCCCCTTTAACAGCCGACCACCGAAAATCGGAGACGTGGCACTCCTGCACGACGACATTGCCCCGAGACATCTGTGGACCTTGGTTCGTGTCATTGATGTACTATCTGGAAGAGACGGAAATGTGAGGGCATGTACCATAAAACTACCATCCGGTTCAGTGACACGAAGACCAGTACAACTGTTGTACCCATTGGAAGCCATTTGAACTTCAATGTATTTTTCTCGCGTTGTGGGGGCGGGGAGGATATATGTAAAATAATTGTAACTGAACAGGGCCTGACATAAGACTCTTGTCCGCTTACAAAGAAGAAGAAGGTGAGGGGAGGAGCTGGCGCGAGGGGAGCCACTAGGTCAGTAAAACGAAGGTTCCCAACGAAGTCGGTTGTCCTGTCTTTCACGAATCGACCTCACAAGGTCACCGACAAAGTCATCAGTCGACGAAATAGAGAGCTTATATGTGCAACATAGACAATAAAAATATGTTCACAAGGTATAGACCATACAAAAGATCTACACAAGGTGTGTCGGTATAGCCGCTGTTATCCCTGAATTAACACAAATTACAGACGCGAGCTGGGGTGAGAACATGGGCGTACCAACCGGGGGGGCAAGGGGGGCACTTGCCCCCCCAGTTCTCAGAGTGGGGGGGCAAGGCATGCGTTTTGCCCCCCCTGAAACGGCCGCCACTGGGCAGAGCAGACACAGGCCGGCGGCGCCCAAGGAATACCAAGGGCACAGCCCCCCGACCCGCGCGGGCATATTTTTAACGCGCTGGCGATACAAACCCTAGCAACGGTGCTCACGCACGCCGGATTGGCTGGTTTGTGGAGCCTTGCCCCACGAACAAGGCTACACGGTAACCTAACGGAATCCATCCGCGAGACATGGGCCGGACGGGCCGTCCAGACCAGGACGTAGGCCCTTACACAAAATAAAGTTTTGCTTGCTTGCTTGGAGATAGGCGCTGCCGCCGTCAACATAGGCAGCGGATGCAATGCGAGTTTCCGAAGAGGTAGCGTAACTTAGTGGTGAGATGTCTGCCTCATACGTGTCAGACCCGGGTTCTATTTATGGTGTGGGCCGGCTTACTTCTTTTTTATTTTTTTGCTCGAACATTTTGTTTTGTCGAGGCATTTGGCGATATTTACATTTCTTTTTTACCATTAACACTAAAAAAACGAATGTTGTTGACGAAACATCGCTAAACTAAATCGTATCGACTCTATTTACGGAAGTGCATGGGGGGCAGCGGGGCTTGGGTTGCCGACCGGACGCCGCAAAGCGGCGTGTACGGGGGGTGGGGGGGCTAGGTGGGTTAATAGATTTGTAATTAGCAGCCGCCGCACACCGTCACCGCGAAGCGGCGTGAACGCAGGCGCGGGGGTGGGTTAACGCGCTTTGAGTGATACACGAGCAGCCCATCCGGCGTGAGCGTCGTTGTTAGGGGTTCTATCGCCTGCACCGTAAAAGGAGCAGTGTGTG